AATAGCGGGAATAATAATGGGAATAACGGGAATAATAATGGGAATAATAATGGGAATGGGTTATGGGAACGGCCTGCTGGGCAGCCGGCACGTGCTGATGGTGAGCAGGAAAAATAGCGGGAATAATAATGGGAATAACGGGAATAATAATGGGAATAATAATGGGAATAACGGGAATAATAACGGGAATGGGTTATGGGAACGGCCTGCTGGGCAGCCGGCACGCGCTGATGGTGAGCGGGAATAATATCGGGAATAATAATGGGAATAACGGGAATAATAATGGGAATAATAATGGGAATAATAATGGGAATGGGTTATGGGAACGGCCTGCTGGGCAGCCGGCACGCGCTGATGGTGAGCAGGAATAATATGGGGAATGTGGGAATAACAACGGGAATGTGGGAACGACAGGAACATCTCAAGGATTTTCCCACAAGGGAATATCCCAGTGGGAGATGCTGAATGGGAAGAGGAATAGGAATGGGAATGGGAAGAGGAATAGGAACAGGAACGGGAATGGGAATAGGAATGGGAACAGGAATGGGAATGGGAACAGGAATAGGAATGGGAATGGGAACAGGAATAGGAATGGGAACAGGAATGGGAATGGGAATGGGAACAGGAATAGGAATGGGAACGGGAATGGGAACAGGAATGGGAATGGGAATAAAAATGGGAATGGGAATAAGAATGGGAATGGGAACAGGAATGGGAATGGGAATGGGAACAGGAATAGGAATGGGAACGGGAATGGGAACAGGAACATCTGTACGGCTCAGGAACTCTTTGTTTACCGACTCCGTTTTCCATCCAGCGCTCTGGATTTGGGATTGGGGATAGCAGAGGGCCGACAGGGAACGCTGCAGGTTCCCGGCTCCAGGGGGAGCATTCCCGGGATTCCGGACTCACCGGGATCTCTCGGCAGGTGGGAGCTCACCGGGAGGACGGTGTCGGCCTCCGCGGGAGCCACTCGCTGGTGCCCGGCCAGGTGCCGGTGCCGACGCTTCCGGTGCAATCAGCAACGTCCCCGGAGCTGACCCCGGCCCAGGATCCCTACCGGGGTGAGCATTCCCAAAAATTCCCAAATTCCCACATCCGCCTGCCTTTGGAATGCGGCAAAACCAGGCTCGAGTTCTTCCCATCCCAATCCATTCTGGGATTTCCATCCCATTCCAGGATTTCCATCCCAATCCGGGATTTCCATCCCAATCCAGGATTTCCATCCCAATCCAGGATTTCCATCCCAATCCGGGATTACCATCCCAATCCAGGATTTCCATCCAAATCCAGGATTTTCAGATCCCATTCCAGGATTTCCATCCCATTCCAGTATTTCCATCCCAATCCGGGATATCCAGATCCCAATCCAGGATTTCCAGATCCCAATCCAGGATTTCCATTCCATTCAAGGATTCCCATCCCAATCCACGATTTCCATTCCTGGATTTCCATCCCATTCTGGGATTTTCAGATCCCAATCCATGATTTCCATCCCAAACCATTCCGTGATTTCCATCCCAATCCAGGATTTCCATTCCAGGATTTCCATCCCAATCCAGCATTTCCATCCCAATCCCGGACTTCCATTCCGTGATTTCCATCCCAATCCAGGATTTCCATTCCAGGATTTCCATCCCATTCTGGGATTTTCAGATCCCAATCCATGATTTCCATCCCAATCCAGGATTTCCATCCCAAACCATTCTGTGATTTCCATCCCAATCCCGGACTTCCATTCCGTGATTTCCATCCCAATCCGGGATTTTCAGATCCCAATCCAGGATTTCCATCCCAATCCAGGATTTTCATCGCAAACCATTCCGTGATTTCCATCCCAATCCAGGATTTCCATTCCAGGATTTCCATCCCAATCCATGATTTCCATCCCAATCCCTTCCAGGATTTCCATCCCAATCCGGGATTTTCCCATCCCTAAATCCGCTCCCTCCTGGATGAGGCTCGGAGAACCCGTCTCGGCTCCGGGATGATCCCAACCCCTTTCCCCGATCCCAAACCCCTCCTCTCCTCCTTTTCCCAGGAATTCCCACGGCTCTCCAAGGCCAGAGCGTCTCATCCGGCAGCTCCGAGATCAAATCGGACGACGAAGCCGACGAGAACCTGCAGGATCCGAAGGTTTCCGAGGAAAAGAAGCTGGAAGAGGATAAGAAGGAGATCAAATCCATAACTAGGTCAAGATCTAGGTAACGGGAGCCAGCAGTGTCGCTTCATTTAATTCCCACTCGGATTTGGATGAAGTGAACGGAAAAGCAGGAATTAAAAAAAAAACGGGAAAAGAGGGAAAAATGGGATGCTCGGTCCTGGCCGGGAGAGGGAGATGCCCGAGTTTTGGGCAAAAATTCCTGGAGAAAAAATGGCTGGAGGAAAATTCCTGGAATTCTAGTCTGGAAAAATCCAGGTTTTCTTCCTTAAATTCTGTGGATTTTAATTTGAATAAAGCAGGAAACAAAAAACTGGGAAAAAAAAGCGGGAAAAGCAGAATCTCGCTCCTGCCAGGACCTTGCGTTCCTCCCGATCCCGTTCCCAAATTTTGGATGTGAAACAAAAAATTCCTGGAATTCTATTCCAGAAAAATCCGGCTGTTCTTCCTTAAATTCCGGGTTTTTAATTGGAATACAGCGGGAGCCTCTGGAAAAGTCTGGGAAGGGGGGGTTGGAATCCACGTGGATGTTGGGAATGTGGGATAACGGCATTGGAAAAGCTCCGGGGAGTGTTGGAAAAATTCCAGCATTTCCTGAGGATAAACTTTGGAAAACGGTGGAGCCTCCATTCCTGGAAAGGCTGAAATCCCTGGAATGGTCGGAATTCCCATTCCAGCGGGGATCGGGATCTCGGTAGACCGGGAATGTTGGGATTCCAAGGATTCCAGACCTTTCCCAAGCAGAAAATTCCATCATTTCCCGCGGATAAACCGCCGGGAATTCCCGCTTGGCTCCTCGGGAAAAATGCGGGAATAACGGCCCGGCTCCGATTAGCAAAGTCCGTTTATCCCGGCAGCAATAACGACGACGAGGATCTGACCCCGGAGCAGAAAGCGGAGCGGGAGAAGGAACGGCGCATGGCCAACAACGCGCGGGAGCGGCTGCGCGTGCGCGACATCAACGAGGCCTTCAAGGAGCTGGGCAGGATGGTTCAGCTCCACCTGAAGAGCGACAAACCCCAGACCAAGCTGCTCATCCTGCACCAGGCCGTGGCCGTCATCCTCAGCCTGGAGCAGCAGGTCCGAGGTGAGAGGGAAATTCGGGATTTGGGGTTGGAGGTGGTGGGGATGGGCTTAGAAGTGGGATGGTGGGTGGTTTTTCCTTGGAAGTTCTGCTATTTCCCATGGAACCTTTCCTTTTTCCATAGAATTTGTCTTTTTCTCCATGGAAGTTTTCTCCATGGAAGTTCTCCATTTGTCCATGGAAGTTTCTCCATGGAAGTTCTCCATTTGTCCATGGAAGTTTCTCCATGGAAGTTCTCCTTTTGTCCATGGAAGTTCTCATTTTTTCCATGGAAGTTCTCCATTTGTCCATGGAAGGTTTGTTTTCTCCATGGAAGTTTTCTCCATGGAAGCTCTCCATTTCTCCATGGAAATTTTTCCATGGAAGTTCTCCTTTTCTCCATGGAAGTTCTCCATTTCTCCATGGAAGGTTTGTTTTCTCCATGGAAGTTTTCTCCATGGGAGTTCCCTATTTCTCCATGGAAGTTTCTCCATGGAAGTTCTCCCTGGAATCCCTCCTCCCTGCCGGGATTCTCCCATTCCCCGTGCCCTGAGGTTCCCTTTTCCCGCAGAACGGAACCTGAATCCGAAGGCGGCGTGCCTGAAGCGGCGGGAAGAGGAGAAGGTGTCCTCGGAGCCTCCGCCGCTGTCGCTGGCGGGACCCCACGGCGGGATGGGCGACGCCTCCAATCACATGGGACAGATGTAACCAGGTGGGGCCGGCATCCGGAGCTTCCGGAATGTTCCCGTTCCCGAAATCCCGGCGTTCCCGAATCCGTATCCCAGAGCTGGGCTGGGATAGCCCCAAAGGATCCCAAAGGCGGCGGCGCCGTCGTGGTCCCGGTGTCCTGGTGGGGTGGGATAGCGGGGATGGAATTAGGGATGGAATTGGGGATGGATTTGGGATTGGAATTGGGGATGGAAGTGGGGATGGAATCAGGGATGGAATTGGGAATGAGGGAATGGAATTAGGGATGGAATTAGGGATGGAATTCGGAATGGAATTAGGGATGGAATTGGGGATGGATTTGGGATTGGAATTGGGGAAGGAATTGGGGATGGAATTGGGGAAGGAATTGGGGATGGAAGTGGGGATGGAATTGGGAATGGAATTAGGGATGGAATTGGGGATGGATTTGGGATTGGAATTGGGAATGGAATGGGGGATGGAATCAGGGATGGAATTGGGGATGGAAATGCAGGATGGATATCAGGGATGGAATTAGGGATGGATATCAGGGATGGAATTGGGGATGGAATTGGGAATGGAAATCAGGGATGGAATTGGGGATGGAAATCCAGGATGGATATCAGGGATGGAATTAGGGATGGATATCAGGGTAGGATATTAGGATTTAATATTAGGGATGGATATCGGGATTGGATAATGGGGTTGGATAATGGGATTGGATATCAGGGATGGATAATGGGATCGGATATCAGGATTGGATAATGAGGTTGGATATTGGGATTGGATATCAGGGATGGATATTGGGATTGGATATCAGGGATGGATAATGGGATTGGAATTTAGGATTGGATTTTAGCGGTGGAATTGGATATTATGGGGTGGAATTGGGGTTGGATTTTAGTCTCGGAATCGGGCTCGGATATTCCGGAGGCGCAGCCCGGTCCCCCTGTAACTGAATTTTGGGATCACCAAAACCTGGGATAATCCCAAAACCGCCTTTCCTGACTGGAATTTCCCCTTTTCCCGCAGATCCGAGGCTCCGGAAAGAAATCTCCATCCCGCTCCTTCCGTATTTCCCCGATCCCACAAAAACCCCTTCGTTTTTTTTTGTAAGATACCGACAAGTCTGAGTAATTCCTCAATCCCAGACGCGTGAGATTCCAGCATTCCCGAGGAAAAATCCCGGAAAAAAAAAAAGCGCCGGAATAAAAAGGAAAGGAAACAAAAAAAACAAACAAAAAAAAACTTTGGAAATTCCGAGCGGAGAGACTGGACCCGGCAAATTTATTTTTTTTTTTTCCGCACTGTGGGACGACTTTGTGCCTAAAAAAATTCCTGAATTTTGGGGTTTTTGGAACAAAAAGGAAAAAAAACCTTAAAAAAAAATTCCATAAAAAAAATACTACAAAAAAAAAAATCCGTAAAAAATTACGAAAAAATTCCATAAAAAAATCCTACAAAAAAAATTCCATAAAAAAATCCTACAAAACAAATTCCATAAAAAATCCTACAAGAAAAATTCCATAAAAAAATTCCTACAAAATAATTCCATAAAAAAATCCTGCGAAAAAATTCCATAAAAAAATCCTGCGAAAAAATTCCATAAAAAATTCCTAGAAAAAAAAAATTCTGCAAAAAAAAAAAATTTAAAAAAAAGGGAAAAAAAAATTCCTTTAAAAAAAAATATATATATAAAAAAATAATAAAAAAAAAAATTCCCGGATTTTTAAAACCTGAGGAAAAAAAACAAAAAAAAAAAAACAAAAAAATATTTAATTTCAACTCGCAATAATGAACAAAATAATTAAAAATAATTCCGAAAAGAGAGGAAAAAAAAATAAAAAAAAAATAATAAAAAAATAAATAAAAGAACGACGGGAAAAAATAAAAATAAAGGAAAAATTCCCGGAAAATATTCCCGGAAACCAGCGGAGAACGGATGGGAAGAAAGGAAAAAAAAAAAAAATTCCGATGTCGTTTTTAGCCATTCCATAGGGTAGGAAAAAAAAAATAAAAATTATGGATCTTATACAAAAAAAAAAAAAAATATATAAATATAAATATATATATAAATCTATATCAGAAATTTAGTGGAAAATGACGGAAAAGTTTTGTTTTCCTTCCTTTCCCGGTTTTTTTTTTTTTGGTTTTTTTTTTTTTTTTTTTTTTTTTGGGAAGCTCCTGGAAAAAAAAAAAAAAACATAAAAATATTTAAAAAAA